GGCGGCAGCAGACGGCGGCTGGAAGAGGGCCCGCAGAGCGTCTCCCGCGTCGTCGCCGCGGGCGCTCTCCGAACGGCGCATCCTCGCAGCTCGGCCAGCGGTTTAGCGGAGCTCGCAGTTATCTTTGAACTCCTGGGCGCCCCAGTCAGCGGCGGGGCGCGGGCGGCGTCGGCGGCTGCTGGCGCGCCTGGCGTCGCTCCCCGTCTGGGCCACGCGGTCGGCCCTCATTCCCGACGTTGCCGCTGCGGCTCCTGATCCACCGCTTGACCAACTCGAAATGCCGCGCATTTGCCCCGAGGTGCGCCGCCGGGGTCGCGAGCCCGATGCCCCCCCTGGGCCTAGGCTGGGGGGCGCCCTGCAGCAAGTCGCGGGCGCAGGTGGGGCCCGCGGCGGCCATGGCGCGGGCGCGGTCGCGCGCCAGAGGCGAGGGGCGCAGGCGCTATCCCAGTGGCCAGAACAGGGCCTCCACGACGGCGGGCAGCTCGCCCGCGTTTGACGAGAGACACGTCGCGCCCGCGAAGCGCGGGTCATTCGGCGTCGTCGCCACCTGGCCACGGGCCCCCAGCATCGGCGCGCCCTTGTCGTCGGGCTCCGCGGCGCGGTTGAGCGCGAACCCCCAGCCAGCAGCCGTGCAACGGTTTCGCGCAGCCTGCCGCCTCCCCCTCCTCGCTGAGCCATCCGCGGAGGTGCCCATAGCGTTCGCCATGCCCCCCCATCGGTGTGCATCGACGGCTCAGGCGGCCTGCAGCTGATCTCCAGGGCCGCGCAGATCCTCGAGGTGTAGTCCTCATGGCGGTCCACCCGCCGCGCGACGGGCTTGCGCGGCGGCCTCTCCGCCGTCTCCACCTCATCAGTCGTCTCGTGATTTGCGTAGCCCTCGGCGGTGGCGATCGTCGTGGACCCTGCGCGGCATGGAGCAGCAGGGGCAGGTGATCGCTCTCGGTGGCGTCGCTGAACGTGCCTGGCCAGTGCGTCTTGCGAAGCCAGTCGCGGTGCACCGGCATGAAGTCCACCTGGCGGGGCCTCTTGCGATCGTCGAAGAGAAACGTCGCCTGGCCCCGCTGTCCCTTCGGAAAGGCGTTCGTCGCAACAGAGTCGACTTCGGCCATCAAATCATGCGGCATCTCGCCTCTCCAAATCATAATAGACGGAGGGTACGGGTCGACTGCATCTGCATCCGGACCCCCGAGGCCTTTCAGGGCGTCGATGCTGACGATGGCGCGGCAATCAAGTGACATGGAAATCAGACACACTCGCGACTGCTCGGTCGTCTCTGCATATTCAGATCTCACGACGCGCGAACACTGGTGCGACCGTGGAACTGAGACTCGCCCGCCAAGGACGGAGGGCCGCAGAGATTCTGCAACCGCTATCGCGCATCTTTGCCAGGCCGCAGGATAGAGGCGACACGTGCACGACATAGCCGTCGCATGACTGCTCGGCTCCACCAGCGACGCGCACAAGCTCTTTGAGCTCGAGCACGCGTTGCCGCTGTCGAGCAAGGACGCCTCTCGCATTCCACCCAAGAACTGCGAGGTCCCTGACGTCCTTAGCAAAGCGGCGACCCCGCACTCGAGATCACTGCGCCCGAGGTGGGTCGTTGATCCCCCAGCCTGCCGGTGAGCTTCATGTCCTTCAGCTCCTGGTCGGGGAGCGCCGTTGTCAAGCATGTCCGACGTCCGCGAGCGGGTCAGGATGCGGATCGGCCTCTCCGCGCTGTTCTTCCTGAAGACAACCTGGCCCCTGTCCCAGCCATCGTCGAAAAACCTCATCTTGGCCTCCTCCGTGCCTAACCCGCTCGCGAGGCCATGCTCCCGCAGGATGCGGGCCGCGAAGCTTGCCCTGCGGGGCAGCTCCACCTCGCAAGGCTCCTGGTCCACCTTGTGCCACAGCTTGTCGTTTCGAGCTCCTGGGCATGGGATCTTCTGACCTATCCAGCGCTTCATGAATCCCAGCATCCTCTGGCTGTCCGCGAATGCAACATTCGCCCGATCACGGAACCAACCCACTCCATAGCGCTCCAGGGACTCAGACCTCGCAAGCTCCGTACGCAGGTGCTTCTCGACCTCCTCCTTGTCCCACGTCCCTGGAAAGCCCGCTGCGAACACGGTGCGCCTAGTGTTCTTCCCTGCGCTCCGCATCTGTCGGAAGCCTGGTCCAGCAGCAGGTGGCGCGGCTCCTCCGTCGCGCTGGTGCGGCAAGTAGGCGCACCACGGGCCAGGCTGCCCGCTCGCGGCAGAGGCGGACCCCAAGCCTGCACGAGGGGGCGTTGCCGTACTCGCCGCTGGCGAACGACCCGCCTCGAGAACCTCCAGCGTGGTCTCCTGCGCCCGCAGCCGCGCCTGCACTGCGGCGATGTCCTTCGCGCTGGTCTCAGTCGTGCGCCTGAGCGCTGCTACGCTAGTCGCAATGCCGTCGATCCTGGTACCCATGGTGGAGCCGATCGATCCGATGATATACTGGGCGAAGTTTAACTGTGCTGGGTCTGTCGGCGGGGGTGGCGGCGGCATGAGAGGCCATCTCACCTCACCAGGAGGGGGGCCTGAAACGGGCGCAGAGCGCCCCGCTGCCGCCTGCCGATCTTCGCCCGCGACCCCCATGCCATCGTCGGTGTCCACATCATCAATACCATCACCGTCGATATTCAGCTGGTCCTGGCCAGCCACGCGACGGCGCTGCTCACGCTCCCAAGCGAAGCCACTCCCTGCTGCCGCTGCGCCTCCCGAGGCGGACGCGGGGGCCTGGGGCGCAACAGCAGCCATCCCTGCCGCTGCAAAATGCGCGAAGGATGGTTCTGGAAAAAACTCAGCTCGAGCGAGATCGGGATACAAAACACCTCAGGCCAGGCAGGGAGGCCCGGCAAGGGCGGGCGATATCCAGCGTTCCCTGGCTGCCGTCTTGAACCAAAATGACGACGACGACCAGGATAGCGGCCGTCATCGGCCCCGCCCACCCCCACGGCCCCGCTACGTGAGATTCCGCGCCGGCGGCGTCCAGGAATGCCGCAGGATGGCCGAGGCCAACTAGGGGTAGCATGTATGAGGCGGTCCGCCCCACATCGCCTATGTACACCACAGTGCCCGCGTGCACCACAACGCGCGTGCACACCACACCGCCAGCGTACACCGCAACAGCCGTGTGCAACGCAGCGCCTGTGTACACCACAGTGCTTGCATGCACCACAGCGCCAATGTACACCACAGCGAAGGTTTACACCGCAGTAGCCATGTGCAACACAACGCTTGTGTATACCACAAGGCTTGCGCGCACCGCGACGCCTGTGCACACCACAGTGCCTGTCTACACCACAGCATCCGCGTGCAATGCAGCGCTGGTGTACACCACCACGCCTGCGTGTAAGGAAAAATAGAAAGAGCATGTAGGTGAGGATCTGCTGCGGACAGCTAAACACCACGCTGGGGACGTGCTGATAATAGAATGCGAAGTTGTTTCCTCTTACATCCTCCTCCACCTCCACATACTCCTCTTCCACCTCCTCCTCCTCCTCCTCCTCCGCCTCCGCCTCCGCCTCCTTCTCCTCCTCCTCTTCTTCCTCCTCCCCCTCCTCCTCCTTTTCCTCCTCCTCCTCCTCTTCCTCCTCCTCCTCCTTTTTCCTTTTCCTCCCTCACCCTTCCCCCCTTGTCGTGCGGGTCGGCGCTACAGCTGACATGCGCATCTCAGCGTGCACCGCAGACTGGTCGATTGAATCAATCCACTTGGTTATCGGACAGCCAATTCTACTGGAGCCCCCTCAGCGCAGATGGGAAAGGTTAGGATGATGCAGGCGGACTCGGGAGGACTCGTAGATTCCACCGGCGCTCTTTCTTCCAGATGGATGCCTTTCCATAAAACAATTGTTTCTGTGGATCCCACAGGCGCTCCGTTTTGTCATACGAATTCCTCTCAAACTTATATATGCAACAATGGTGCTCTGTTGTACGCGGTTGCTGTGGTGCACACAGGTGCCGTGGCGTACACAGGCGCTGTAGTGCACGCGGGCATTGTGGTGCACACTGGTGCTGTGATGCACACGGCTGATGTGGTATACGCAGGCGTTGTGGTGTACACAAGCACTGTGGTTCCCGCAGGCACTATGGCACACACTGGCGCCGTGTTGCACGCGGCTGCTGTGGTGCACGTGGGCGATGTGGTGTACTCAGGCGCTGTGGTGCACGCAAGCACTGTGGTATACACAAGCCCTGTGGTGCATATCGCCACCTACATGCTGCTGCTACACGTCCTCGGTCATTCCTAAACATTCCCAGACGCCGCCAGCGCGAAACGTGACGTCATCGGCCCCCTCCTACCCCCTACAGATGACGGCCGTCAGCGGACCGGAATTTAAAAGCAGGCTCCAGCCGCGTCCGCGCGCACGACGACGATGGACGAGAGACAACGACGACGACGACGACGACGACGACGATGACGACGAGCACGACGACGACGACGTCGACGACGACGACGAGGACGAGAACGAGGACGACGACGACTGCGGACCAGAATCCTAGTCGGGTTCCTATGCGGACACCTATTCGGATCCCGATGCGCACGGCGGTAGTGCCTGGAGCGCATTGGGGGTGGAGCGCTACGTCATACGGGGGGGGGGGGGGCAGGGGCCATGACGCCCGTCATGCCCCAAGCAATGAAGACACACGCTCTATGTACCGCGGGGCCTGCGGGAATGTCCCGTGGTTGTCCTGTGGTTGTCCTGTGGTTGTCTACTGGCTTGTCCTGGGAATGTTCCGATGGTTGCCCCGTGGTTGTGCAATGCTGAGTGTCCCCGTGATTATCCTGTGGGTGCCCCGTGAGCGCCAACGGGCGCGTGAGCCCTGCAACGTTTTGGGAACACTTGGCGAAAACTGTGAAAGTAAGCATCCGTAGCACCACGGCGTCTATGAGCACTGGGTTGGACTGGAGGAGAGCAGCAATGCGGGGCGAAGCATCACTTGTTGGGGGAGCAAGTGAGGTCAGTCGGGTGCAACTGGGAATGTGAAGGAAACTGTCCTTGTTATCGGAAAGCGAATCCATCTCCTGCTGGACCATGAAGTCCGACGTGGGGCACCCGCTGTGCTCGCGAACGCCACCCTTGAGCCCGTCCGCCATGGACAAGTCCTCCCCATCGATACCTGCCTGGCCCGCCAAGTCTTCGCTCACAGGGCCGAGGTCATTCTTCGATCCGCCTGCTGGTCCTGGCCCTGGCTTCCAGAAGTCCATCCAGCTGCCAGATTTGATGGCCTCGCCGATGATGCCCAGCGTCGCTCTCGCGTCGTCCGCCTCGAACCACCCATTGCACATATCAAAATTCTTCGGCGTCCACATCACACCATCGCACTCGTCTTGCTGGTCGTAGCACACCGCGTACAGGTGGCTTTCCTGGTGGGACTCCCGCCAGAGGTTCTCGGCCTGGCCGTCGGGAATGGGGATTTCTGTGTGCAGACCTCCGTTCCCGAATACGTCGTCACCAGCATCGACGAGCCTACGGCTCTCACCGAGAGGCCGGTTGCAGCCGCCCCTGGCCCTGCAGACCTTCAGGCGGATCGGGAAATTGCTATCAAACTCCTCTTTCGTGTGGGCCTTGAGCGCGTTTACTCCCTGGATCATCAACTCCTCCTTGACAGTTGAACCTTTTTTGTCTTCAACCGTCCCCCTGTGCAAGACGTTCACCCGGCTCGTGCACTTCACCTCGAAACTCCCCTCCTCGATCTTTCGGTCCTGGAACAGCCAGCCTTCGTCCGTGTAGCCGTTCGCGCGCGTGCGCTTGCACAAGAACAGGTTCAAGTTCTCCACCCCGCCGCCTTCAGCCTTGTGCCTCTCTAGCTCGCGCCGCGCCTCACTGAGGTCCTCCTCTTTGAACGTGGATAGACCCGACCTGCTCAGGTGGACCTCCAATTCCATCAGCGACGTCTCTTTCCCGCCGCTCTGGTGCCTGTTGGCCGAACGCATCTGGTACCCACACCCGCTCAGCCAGAGTCCAACAGAGGCCGCCGGCGTGGGTGCAGGCGCGGCTTGGGCACCCAGAGGGGAGCCAAGACTCCGCGCCCGCACCACACACACGGAAGGTCCGAGCGTGGCCAGTCTGGGAGCGAGCGCGTGCGTGGGCGGCAATGCTGGGCCCCGTCCCCCACCCCGCTCGTGAAGGGAAGTAAAAGCAGCATCAATGACACGCTGCCACGGGGAAGCCGTCAGCGTGCTGTCAAAAAACAGCATGCCTGCGGGCAAGCACGAAGGAGTACCACGCGGAAAGGTCCCCAGCGGCGGCGTGTCATTGATACCCTTCGTCCCTCCCGAGCCCTGCCCCCCCCCGCTTCGGCTCCGCAGACCACTCGGACACCCTCTCGAGCACGGAGTCCAGGGCCACCTCTCGGGTAGAAGATGGACTACGCAATTGATATAAGCCAAACTTGTAGTTCCCACCGAATCTGCAAACACATGTTGGTAGATTCGACGAGCAAATCAAGTCTGCGGTGCATCAATTCTATAGTCGATCTCCTACTCGAACCTCCAGCCTCCCCAGGGCGTCCGGCCCAAGCTCGGCCCCGCGCCGCCGGGCCGCCTGCTCCCGGGGGGGCGCGGGGCCCGGGCCGCCCGAGGCGCCGCGGGGCCCCCTGGAGGATCGGCTGCCGAGCGACTGCAGGTGCGCCTGGATACCGAGCTCGAGGTTGATGTTGCTGCGCGCGGCGAGGACCTCCTGCGGTCCCAGCGCTCCCAGCACTGGGCTGATGGCGTCGGGGCGGCCAGAGAATGCACATGTGAGAGACCACCGTGAGGCATGGACTACTTGGGCTCATCTTCCATACATCCAACAGAAGCTGCTCGGAGATCTCTCCTACAGTGTCTAACGTGCTTGATGCGTGAGCGCATCGCATGATCACAATCTCCCGGGCGCTCGAATACTTATTAGTGTTGAACAGAACATGGTCTTAAGTATCGCAACGTTTGGGTGTACTGAACCAATTGCTTTGATATTTTGGCGTGTCTGGTCAACTTGGCGTTTCCCGACGCACCTTGTATGTAAGGGGTCTAGAATATGCTTCTAAGAAAGAGCGAGTAGGTATAATGCCGGATCCATAATCGGTCGGGCGACGTGGCCTCCCGTGGACTCCCGCTGCGTCCCGTGGCCTCCCATTGCCTCCCATGGACTCCCATTTCCGTCCCTATCCCTATGAGGTGGCCTGCCAGATCCAGAATCGGTCGGGCGACGCGGCCGCTCGCGGCATCCCTTTGCGTTCCGTGGCCTCGCTTCGCCTGCATTTTTCTTGTTACCAAGCGAGATCAGTCGCAATGTTATGCGCCCCTGGGGGGTCCATAGGTGCTGCGCCTCACGTGGATAAGGTCGAAGCCTCTCCGACCCGAGGTGCTAGGCACACGACGAATTGTCGTACATTTCTGGGCCCCCGGGGTGTAGCGCAACCAGGTCCCATTCGGATCCAAAGGACAATCCAGGACCCTGGCGACTCACGTAAATCCCGTGGATAACTCGACGCGTCCCAGGCGCGTTCATGGGGTTACTGATGTTTCCCAATCAGGGTTTGCACTGCAGGGGTCCTCGCAGAAGTCCTAGGCACTTGGCGAACATATCTGGCCAATGTCCTGGTGTTGTCAAAATCGGGTTCGGTGGTCGGGGGGGGTTCTTGATTTCTCAGAATATAGAAACAACTCGAGAGGGAGCAAGAGAGACAGGGAGAGAGAGAGAGAGAGAGAGAGCAAGAGAGAGAGAGAGAGAAAACACCAAAAACAACTATACATAAACAAATCGACCGATCGGACCACCCTACGGATGATAGGGAGGTTGGGTGGAAAGGGGGAGGCGGTCGATTTGCGATGGCTCTGGGTTCTTTGGTGGTTTCTTCAACTTCCCTATTGTCGCGCACGTCTGCCCATCTATCTACCGACCTATCCATCCAGACATCAATTTAGGACAACCGTCTATGTATACATAGATGTGACCATCTGTCAGACTAGCGATCAATCAATGAACCACTATATAACACCCAATGTGTTTATTTATTTATATATATATATATATATATTCATTTACGTGTATATATCGTATAATATGTATATCATTGTATACACATAAATATGTACATATGTGGAATGTCGATATACATATATATATATATATATACCAACTAAAACATATACCGATCGATCAATCAACCATCGGGACAACCATCGGGACAACCATCGGGGCAACCATCGGGGCAATCGCCCGGACAACCGCTGGGACTGACGGGGGCCACGCCTGGCGCTCGGGGGGCGGCCTTTGTGGCAATACATTGCCTCTACTAGAGATGGAGCTCGCGCAGCTTCGCTTCGCCCGCACGCACGACACGAACCGGAACCGAAATCGATTTCCCGGTTGGGATCACTTCCGCTCCAACTCCCCAGCCTCCGATGTATGTATATATATATATATGTAAATACACATACATATTACATACATATATATATATATATAGAGAGAGAGAGAGAGAGAGACAGAAAGAAAAAAAGAGAAATAGAGCGAGAGAGAAGAGACACTGGGTAGTTCGTATGTATAGACATACACAAAGCAGGAAACCATATTCTTAAAACATATAGAGACACAGATAATACATACTAGAACGGGTTTTGATGAGGACGTACACGGAAGAGACGGTAAGTAATTGTTGACGCTTCGCGTATCCCCACCAGCCCATCCAGAAACGATGCTCAGGGGAGTTGAGGTGATCAGGGAAGTCGGGGAGCATGCAGAATAACAAAGGGCGGGGGAAGCTGTCACAGACCCCGAGAGGGGGAGGATGGAAGAGGAGTCGTCGTCGTCGTCGTCGTCGTCGGAGGAGGAGGAGGAGGAGGGGGAAGAGGAGGAGGAGGAGGAGGAGGAGGAGGACGGAGAAGGAGGAAGAATCGGAGGAGGAGGAGGAGGAGGGGAAGGAGCTTCTTGGGGGTCTTTTGAGGGCCTCTTGGAGGGCTTTTTGGGCGCCTTGGGGCATCTTGGGCGCCTCTTGGGACCCTCTTGAGGCGCTCTGGGGAGCCTTCGGGGCGCTTTTGGGGCCATCTTGGAGGGAGTCGATCAAACAAGAGGGGGGGTTTAATTAGCGCCCCCCCTCGGAAGCCCCTAAAATCGCCTCTTGGACCCCTCTTGGAACGCTCTTGGAGTGCTCTTGGGCGCTCTTGGGGCCGTCTTGGGGCTCTTTTGGGGCTCTCTTGGGGCCCTCTTGGGCCATCTTGGAGCCATCTCCAGGCCTCGGATAGCCATCGGAAGCGAAAAGGCGAGAAAGCAAAAATCATTGATTTTCCTTAGGTTTTGGGACGATTTTGGCCTCTTCGGGGCCTCCTTGGGGAGCTGTTTGGCCACTTGGAGTTATCTTGGGGCCGTCTTTGGGCTTCTTGGAACCATCTTAGGAGCCATCGTGAGCGATCTTGCGCTATCTTGAGCCATCTTGGAGCTCATCTTGGGTTCTCTGAGGCGCTCTTGGAGCCGTCTTGGGCCATCTTGGACGCTCTAACTACCCGCGGCCCCCCCCGTCCAGGTCCAGGGGAGGGGGTAGGGGGAGGGGTAAACCCCTCCCCAAGGGGGAAGAGGGAGGGGTGGAAGAGGATCTGTTCTAGACCACCTACGCCCAGAGGGCTGGTGGGATAAGTGGGGTGGCCAACGACATTGACTTTTGATTTTTGTGTTGGTATTCATTCCAATGCACATGTGTACGCGAATGTTGCCTGCGTTACGAATTATACTTCGAGATGCAAATGTGTGCCCTTCGAATCGGGTGCCGATGTGCCAGTCGATTGAATGTCCATGCGCATGCCGACGCGTGACCCGAATGAATTGCATGTTGCTAATTGATGCGCACTTCGGTACGCATTGAGGTGCGGCGCCTTCTGGCATTTGAAATGTGGTGTGCGTTCCGACAAGGATGTTTCTTCACGCCATGAAGACGAGAGGTAAGAGAGAAGCCATGGAATCGGGTGCCAGAACATATATGAAGACGCGGCATTTGTCTGATGTTCTGATCCCCATAGCGCCGCACAGGGCCATGCAAATAGCAAATAGGACAGCGCTGCCCTGAGACGAGACAGCGTCGGATATAGCGCCCCCTTATGAAGCCTCTTAAACCTCGTTTACAATCGGAGGGGGGGGGGGGCTAGATCCAAGTCCTCACGAAATCCCACCAGCCCTCTGGGCGTAGGTGGTCTAGAACAGATCCTCTTCCACCCCTCCCTCTTCCCCCTTGGGGAGGGGTTTACCCCTCCCCCTACCCCCTCCCCTGGACCTGGACGGGGGGGGCCGCGGGTAGTTAGAGCGTCCCAGATGGCCCAAGACGGCTCCAAGAGCGCCTCAGAGAACCCAAGATGAGCTCCAAGATGGCTCAAGATAGCGCAAGATCGCTCGAGATGGCTCCTAAGATGGTTCCAAGAAGCCCAAAGACGGCCCCAAGATAACTCCAAGTGGCCAAACAGCTCCCCAAGGAGGCCCCGAAGAGGCCAAAATCGTCCCAAAACCTAAGGAAAATCAATGATTTTTGCTTTCTCGCCTTTTCGCTTCCGATGGCCATCCGAGGCCTGGAGATGGTTCCAAGATGGCCCAAGAGGGCCCCAAGAGAGCCCCAAAAGAGCCCCAAGACGGCCCCAAGAGCGCCCAAGAGCACTCCAAGAGCGTTCCAAGAGGGGTCCAAGAGGCGATTTTAGGGGCTTCCGAGGGGGGGCGCTAATTAAACCCCCCCTCTTGTTTGATCGATCTCCTCCAAGATGGCCCCAAGAAGCGCCCAGGAAGCCCCAAGAGGTCCCAAGATGGCCCCAAAATGGCCCCAAGAGGCCCCCAAGAGGCCCCCCGGAGGCCCCCAAGAGACCCCCAAGAGGCCCCAAGAGCCCCCCCAGATGCACCCAAGATGCTCCAAGAGGCCTCGGCGAGAATGCCTAATCATTGATTCTACACAGGTTTTAGCCACATGGAGGCCTCTTGGGGGGGGGCACGGATTAAGATGACTCCAAGAGCGTCTGGGAGAGCCCAAAATGACCTCCAAGATGGCTCAAGATATCCCAAGATGTCTCATAATGGCTTCCTCTGTGTGCTGCCCACTTCTCTGATCGAGGCAATTCCTCTGGGCATCGTTTCTGGATGGGCTGGTGGGGATTCGCGAAGCGACAACAATTAGTAATGCACCATGGGGATATTGTTGCTCTACGCCCCCAAGGGCGCAGAAAAAAGCAGCGCAAGGGCCGGTCGCGACGCATTGCCTCACGACCAGCCGCAAACGACTACAGGCAGTGTTGGTGGCGGGTTCTGGAGGTTGCGAAGGGAAATGGGTCTTGGCGTCGCTGACGTGAGCCGTCGAGGTGGCTTCGGTGGTCGCGGGATCTTTTTGCAACTCCTCGACGCTCTGTCGTAGACCACGTACCTCGCCGTTGGTGTCATTGGGGGCACCGGTCCAGCCGATGCTCAAAGTCCTGGGATAGTCGATTGCGTGCTTCGCGCTCTAGTTCCAGACGGGCGAGTAGTGCCTCGGCCGGTGCCTTCTCAACGTCTCTTTTGTGGGAGATCTGGGAGAGTCGCAACTGCGCGCGGCCCGCCGCTTCCTTACCTCCGCCAACTCGGCAGCGAGGGGGGCCAAATCGCAAGCCGATGTCGGGGTGCCCAGCTGCGCAGTCTGGGCCCGTTCAACATGCAACTCAGCCAGCGCAGCCCGTAGGTCAGGTAGAGGCTGC